TTTAAAAAAATGGATTTATAAAATAGGAGTGATAACTTTCCTATTTTCTGACAAATGTGGTAAGAGTAATAGTTTTTTTCTGTAGATGTTTGATAACATTCCCTAGTAAAGCCAGTTGAGCCTGCACTTGTCTTGGGACATTCTTGTTTTTTTTTTTTTTAAGATTTATTTATTTTAATTAGAAAGTCAGATATATATAAAGGAGAAGAGACAGAGAGGATGATCTTCCATCCGGTGATACACTCCCCAAGTGGCCACAACGGCTGGAGCTGAAGCCAGGAGCTTCTTCCTGGTCTCCCACGTGGGTTTGGAGTCCTAAGGCCCTGGGCCATCCTTGGCTGCTTTCTCAGGCCACAAGCAGGGATTTGGGTGGGAAGAGGGGCTGCTAGGACAGTAGCCGGTGCCCATTTGGTATCCTGATGTGTGCAAGGTGAGGGCTTTAGCCACTAGGCTACTGTGTGCCGAGTTGGAACACTCTTAAATTATGAAGGCAGTGCCTTTAGTAGACAAACAACTCAAATTTATTTCTTATGTTAGCTTTAATGATTTATGTCTAAAAGAATTTATTGAAATTACAAGTGTGAAGGTTATAATTCTGTTGTCATTTTAGTCTTTGTAGGATTTGTATTTTTCATTTATTCATAATTATTTTTTACATATATCTAGGTACAGGTTTACAAGTTTTAAAGCACATTTTACTTTCATTGATTTTTCTTTGTTGTCCATTTTTTATTAATTTTACATTGCCATTTGTCTTTCCCTAGGGTTGTTAGGGAAACCTCCTTTTTCTTTTTATGAAATTACCTGAGATGCACAGAATGCACTTCTCATGGCAGACAGGGATGCAGCTGCTCACCTGTCACCTGCTTCTTGCCATTGGTAGGAAGCTGGCATTAGAAGCTGAGCTGCTGCCTCAGCAAGGCACTCTGGTAAGGTATGCGGGTGGCTGAAGTGTTTGTCTTAGCAGCTGCACCAGAAAGCAGTTCTTTTCTAAGAACTGTCCATTTCAATCTAAGTACTAATTTCAGCAGTAGTCCACTCATCTTTTCTTTATAAATTAGTTAAAATTTTTTCCTGATTTTCCTTGTGAATTTTGATTCATGGATAATGAGAAGCATGCTGTTTACTTTCTGCTTTTTTGGTATTCCTCCCCCCTAAGTAGTTCCGTTATGGCAGATTATATAACCCTAATCTTTTCAGGTGTTAGGCTTCTTTTTTATTTATTTTAATGATCTGGTATATAGTCAACCATGGTACGTCTTCCATTTATACATGACAAGAATATTCTTGCAATTGGATGCACCATTCTCTTTGTGGTGAAGTTGTTTGGTCCTGTTGGCTCGATTTTTTTTTTTTTTTTAAGCTGTAGCAAGTGTGTATCTTGGTGTTATGTTACTGAGAAAGTAATTGTGGGGTTTTCCTTTGTAGATATCTGTATCCTTTTTGGTTCTGTCCTTTTTAGCTTTATTTCTTTCTTTTAAAGATTTTATTTATTTTTTTTATTGGAAAGGCGGATATACAGAGAGGACAATCTTCCGTCCGATGAGTGAGCGCAATGGCCGATGTTACGCAGATCCAAAGCCACGCGGGTGCAGGGTCCCAAAGCTTTGGGCTGTCCTCGACTGCTTTCCCGGGCCACAGGCAGGGAGCTGGAAGGGAAGTGGGGCTGCCGGGATAGACCCGGCGCCCATATGGGATCCGGGCGTGCAAGGCGAGGACCTTAACCACTGCGCCATCCCGCCTGGCCCTAGCTTTATTTCGTTTGAACCTCTGTTACTATCTACCCATGGATTCAGAATTTTGTGTCTTAGTGAACTGACCTTGTTGTTATGAAATGCCTTTCTTTGTGTATGATATAATTGCTTTTCTTGTTCTCTAATGTGCCTGGAGTTATGTTCTGGTTTATACTGTATCAACTTTCTCTGAGGAATGCTTGCAAGATACCTTTTCTCCATTTACTTTTTAAATCTTTTTATTATTTTTTGAGATATTAGGAGGTCCTTTATTTCAGCAGGGTAGGAAATGGGAGTAAAGAATGGGAGGGCAAACATCTCCTGTCATAGTGGCGATGGGGGCTGCCAGGCAGGGGAAGGGGCAAGGTGGAAAAGGATGAGGCAGAGCCAGGTAAAAAGTTGCCCATTCTATTTTTAACCCACATTATTCTTTATTATTTTTTAGTCATATCTTTATTTCTTCTATAATTCGTTAAAAATAATTAGTAGCTTGTTGTTTATTTTTACCTACTTAAAAGGTCTAATGTGAAAGAAAAAGAAAAGAATGGATAGGTTATGTTTGCCAGTTCTTGCCCAGATGGCTGCAAGAGTCAGAGTTGGATCAGGCAGAAAACGGGAGCTCAGAACTCCATCCAGTGTCCTACATGGGTGACAGGAGGTCAGGTGCTTGAGCCATCATCTGCTTCCCAGGGTGCGTGAGCAGGAAGTCAGATTGGAAGCAGAGCAGCAGGAATTCAAATCAGCATTCTACATGGGATATGGGATTCTGGTCACCCCAGTGTCTTTAAATATTTAAAGTGCCTGAGATTTTTACATGATGTTTGGGTCTTCTTTTGGCTCTGTGTATTTATAATTTTCGTTTCTTACAGTATATTTGAACTATTATGTCAGATACTTAATCTCATTAAAAAATTCTTCAGTCCTTTTCATTGCAATATTTTTATAATTGAGATTAAATACAATATGCAGTTCTTGGTGTGTGTGAATACTTATTTGTTTAAATAATATTTTTAATAATAAAAGCAATGTATGGTTAGAAATTTCTGTACAGTTACAAAAAAGAAAATAAAAATTGCCTAGGATATTCCTTGAGCACATAGGAACATTAACACATTCTATAGTTTTAATCCTATAGAATCTGTTAATTTTTCTTGTGGTAAATATGTAAGAATTTACCATGCCTAAGTGTACGGTAGTGTTAACAGTGCCACTGTACTTTGTTAGTGCACACAGGAGAACTGTCTGATTGGGTAGTAGGAATTACCCAGAAGAAAGCCTTATTTACTTGGAACAAGTAGAGAAGGCAGAGGGACCGTGGTTCCTTACTGAAGCTGCCTTCCTGAGAAGCAGATGATAGCAAGGTTGGGGAACCAGCATGTGGAAAGAGGGAGTGGAAGTGCTCTTCCTGCTCCAGCAGATTGGTTACATGTTCATACATTGTATGCTTAAAATCCTCAGACTCAGGATTCCTGGAGCTTGTTTTGGTTGACTGGTCATCTGCCCTCCCCCTTTCCTTTTCCCTCCCCCCCCAGAACAATGTTGCAAGATAAAGCTTTCCTGGAACATTCTCTGAAAAACAAGCTCTGACAAGTGGACTGTTTCAGAGTCTCTTACTCTGTTCCTGTGCCTCCTTCTTGGCTAAATCCTGTATTCTTGATTACTTGTACAACAAATCTTTAGAACTTTCTCATTTCCTTATTTAAATGTTTATTTATTGGAAAGTCAGATTTCCAGAGAGAAGAAGAGACAGAAAGATCTTCCATCTGCTGGTTCACTTTCCAAGTGGCTGCAATGGCCCAAGCTGAGCTGATCCAAAGGCAGGAGCCAGGAGCCTCCTGGTCTTCCATGCAGGTGCAGGATCCCAAAGTTTGGGCCGTCCTCCACTGCTTTCGCAGGCCACAAGCAGGGAGCTGGAGGGGAAGTGGAGCAGCTGGGACACAAAGCGCTCGTACTTTTGCTACTAGGCAATTGCGCTGTGGCCAGATGCCTTTCTTTTTAAGGGCTGGAAAATATTGCATTGTGTGAATATATATATATATACACATACTTTTCTTTCAGTCCACAGACGTTTAGATTACTCTCTTCTCTAAGCTATTATGAATAATGCAATAGTCAACGTGTGTGTATGTCTTTCTTGCATATTTTAAGATGTTTATTGTTCTAATGATTTTAGATGGTTGATTCTGATTTTCTCACTTTTTTGTTTATGAAATTCTAGTATTTTAAAATTTAAATTTGGGAGTGATTTTTCATGATGCAGTGATAGGGCCTGTGTTAATACACGTGCTAACTTTAGGAAAAGCTTCCTAAGGGGTGGGCCGTCATCACACTGCTGTACCTGCTCTAGTTTGGTGCCTGTGCCCAGCCCTCACTGCTCCTGTTGGCCGTACCTGTGCAGTACGTGCACAGCTGCGTGGAGTGCATCTGGATCAAAACGTTTAAGTACGTGCTATCACATGAGACCAAATTTTTTTTATCATATAGGAAATTCGTTTGTGGCCACTGTTAATACAATTTTTTGGTTTGTTTGTAAAAGCAGAGTTGGTTTTAGGTATTATGTTTGGCTTGCTTCTTCGAAGGCACTAGGCTCTCCACTATACCATCAGTGCTTGGCTTACTTCTTCATACTCCATCGTGTCACAATCTGTTAATGAGGAATTTCTCTTAATATTTACACCTGTGTTCCTTTCATTAAACAGGCTGAGGAGACATGGGAGTAGAGGTTGGAGACAATAAAACTAAACTAGTTAACTCTTAAAATTTTTTTTTTAATTGGAAAGTAAGATCTACAGAGAAGGAGAGACAGAAAGATTTTCTATCTGCTGGCTTACTCCCCCAAGTGGCCACAATGGCCAGAGCTAAGCCAGTCCGTAGCCAGGAGCCTTCTTTGTGTCTCCCACGCTGGTGCAGGGTCCCAAGGCCTTGGGCCGTCCTTGACTGCTTTCCCAGGCCATGTACAGGGAGCTGGAAGGAAAATGAAGCAGCCAGGATACAAACCAGTGCCCAAATGGGATCTCGGTGCGTGCAAGGCAAGCACTTTTGCCACTAGGCTACCACACCAGGCCCAGCTATTTAACTCTTGTGTTTTGGTGCTTTGCCAGTAAGAAATACTGAAACATGTTGGTTTAAAGGCCAAATTTATTAGGGAAAATTAAACATTATGTTTAAAAAGTGGTTTATCTGTCACCTCAGGAACAAACCTATCTTGTGAAACAAGATGTTCTATTCTGAAAGCATTGTTAACATTTTCTGATTTTTGTTCCGCAGGTATACTACAGCATCCAGACGGCACAGTTTTGAAACAGTTACAGCCTCCTCCCAGGGGCCCGAGAGAGCTGGAATTCTATAATATGGTAAGTAGTTGCAAGAATTTCTGCAGTCATGGTGTTTTCCCAAGTTTTCTGGCATAAAAAAAATGTGTTTTGGGGCTGGCTTTGTGGTATACAACTATCCCTTTCAAATAAAATATATTTTATGCTATTTGACTGTGTGTCCTTGTGTTTAACAGAAACTAAAGATTCATAAAAATAACACTTGGAATCTGCTTGTATCACCTGAATGTAATGCATTCTAGTATTTTCTGTTTTGTGTAATTTGTTCTTTTTTTTTTTAAGATTTATTTATTATTTTTATTACAAAGTCAGATGTACAGTGAGGAGGAGAGATAGGAAGATCTTCCGTCCGATGATTCACTCCCTAAGTGACCACAAAGGCCGATGCTATGCCGATCCGAAGCCAGGAGCCAGGAACCTCTTCCAGTTCTCCCACGCGGGTGCAGGGTCCCAAGGCTTTGGGCTGTCCTCGACTGCTTTCCCAGGCCACAGGCAGGGAGCTGGAAGGGAAGTGGAGCTGCCAGGATTAGAACCAGCGCCCATATGGGATCCCAGGGCATTCAAGGAGAGGACTCTAGCTGCTAGGCTATGGCGCCGGGGTCAATTCTGCTTTTTTGAAGGAGAAAAGGAGGGAGGAAAATAGGAGAAAAGAGAGAATAAATGATCTGCTAATGCCCCAGATCGCCACAATAGCCAGAGTTGGGCCAGGCCAGAGCCAGGAGCTAGGAGCTTCTTCTCAGTCTCCCACATGAATACAGGGCCCCAAGCACTCGGGCCATCTGTTGCTGCTTTCCCAGGCACGCTAGTAGGCAGCTGGATTAAAAGTGGAGAATCCGGTGCCCCAATGGATGCCAGCATCATAGGTGGTATAGGTAGTAGCTTAGCATGCTAGAGCACAGTGCCCGCTCCTCCTGTGTATATCATACAAGTTTTTATTCAGGACTGTTAAAATATGACGATGTATGGATTTGATCTATAGTTTGAAAGCTCCTCACTGAGAAACTAGGTGTTTCTACTACAGAATTCCTCAGTCTTGTCAACATCCTGAAGTGTGTTGTGCTGTGTCTCCATGTGGAAAAGAGTATATATTTCACATGTCATTTAACTTGTGACTGGGGATACATTTTAGTTCATTCATAGTATTCCGTGATCATTACTGACTCAAAGGAGTTTCATCAGCCCTAAATCAAACCTTTGCAAGTCATGTTACAGTATTCCTGCCTGCCTCCAGTCCCGTAACCTCCAGTCTGCTCTCTAAATTTTCCTTTTCAAAGTGTTTCATGTAAATGAACCCTGCAATATGTGACCTTTGGCTTTCGTATAATGGAATGTTTTTTAAGGATCCTGTACATTATAGCATGTATCATATGTTTTTCCTTCTGATGGCCAAGTCTGCTTCTCCATGGAGTCATTGAAGGACGTCTGAGTTGTTTTATCTTTTGGCTTTTTTAAATAGTACTGCTGTGAATATTTATGTAGAGTATTTTGCTTGAGTACTTGTTTTCAGTGTATTCGGATGTGATCTTACAAATGCAATTATTGGATCCTCTAATAATTACACATTTAATTTTTCTAGAAGCGTTCCACCGGTTTGCAGAGTGGCAAACAGTAGTATTGAGTGTATGAGAGTTCTCTACTGACACTATTTGTTTTGTTCAACGGCCATCCTATTCAAATATACAATGTTATCTCATTAGAGCTTGTTTTGGTTTGCCTTTTTCTGATAGTTAATGCATATTAAGCAACTTTTTATGTACTTAGTTGCTAAATTATATGTCTTCTTCAAAGTAGTGCATATTCAGATACTTTGCTCATTTTTAGAATTCTCTCAGATTGTAGGAGTTGCTTACATGTGCTGTGAATGAGTCCCGTGGCAGAGGTGTGGCTCGCTGATGCTTCTGCCATTCCGCTGATTGTCTTTACTTTCTTGCTTGTATCCTTTGGAGCACAAGCTTTTTTTTTTTTTAGAGATTTATTTTTATTATTATTATTATTTTTTTTTTATTGGAAAGGCAGATATACAGAGAGGAGAGACAGAGAGGAAGATCTTCCGTCCGATGATTCACTCCCCAAGTGAGCGCAACGGCCGATGCTATGCTGGTCCAGAGCCAGGAGCCTCTTCCGGGTCTCCCACGCGGGTGCAGGGTCCCAAAGCTTTGGGCCGTCCTCCACTGCTTTCCCAGGCCGCAGGCAGGGAGCTGGAAGGGAAGCGGGGCTGCTGGGATTAGAACCGGCGCCCATATGGGATCCCGGACGTGCAAGGCGAGGACCTTAACCACTTGTGCCACCATGCCTGGCCCACAAACTTAAAATTGTCAGTGAAATCAAGCTTATTTTTTGTTGCCTGCTTTTGGTATCCTATTTAAGAAATTTTTGCCTAATCTAGTGTTATTATGGCTTATACTCACTGTCTTCTAAGCATGAGTGAGGAAGGCATCCAGTTTAATCATTTGCATGTAGAATTCTAGTTATCCCAGTGTTGTTATGTTCCTTCTCCCTGAGGTATCTCAGCAGTCTTGTTAAAAGTCAGTTGGCCCTAAATGTAAAGAAGTTATTAAAGAAATTCTTAATCCAGTCCTCTATTGCTGCCAGGAATAAAGGATGAATTTGGGATTGAGAGGCACTAAACTGACAACTGGTACAGAGATCTTCCATCTGTAAGTTGATTTCCTCCCAGTGAAGATGTGAAGATTTCTTTCCTTTCTCCTTTTTTTTATTTTTAGATTTATTTATTTTATTACAAAGTCAGATATACAGAGAGGAGGAGAGACAGAGAGAAAGATCTTCAATCAGCTGCTTCATTCCCCAAGTGACTGCAACGGTTTGTACTGAGCCAATCCAAAGCCAAGAGCCAGAAGCTTCTGGGTCTCCCACACGGTTGCAGGGTCTCAAGGCTTAGGGCCATCCTCTGCTGCCTCCACAGGCCACAGGCAGGGAGCTGGATGGGAAGCAAGGCAGCTGGTACACAAACCGGCGCCCGTATGCGATCCCAGTGTGTGCAAGGCAAGAACTTTAACCACTAGGCTACTGTGCCAGGCCCTCAATTGTTTAACTGAGCAAAATGATATCCAGTTGCATTCATTTTGTTGTAAAAGACAAGATATCATTCTTTTTGATGGCTGAATAGTATTTTATAGTTAGTGTATGCCACATTTTCTCTCTTCAATTATCAGTTGATGGATATGTGGGTGATTCCGTATCATAGCTCTTGTGAAGTGAGTTATGATAAATATAAGGGCACTAATAATTCTTTTATTTTCCTAATTGATTTCACTTCATTTGAATAAATTCCTAGGCATTGCATGGCCTGATCCTCTCTAGATGGTATTCAGATTTCTGAGGAATCCCCACCCTGTCTTCATAATGGTTGTACTAGTTTATATTTCCACTAACAGTGAATTAGGTTGCCTTTTCCCGACATTGTCACCAGCATTCTTTACTATTTGATTTTTGGATGGCCGCCATTTCAGCTGGAGAGAGATGGTATCTTATTGTGGTGTTATTTGCATATCCCTGATGGCTAGTGATCCTGAATATTTTTTCATGTGTTGGTCATTTGTTTCATTCCTTTCGTATCTTTTGCCCTTTTCTTAACTGTATTGTTTTTGTTTAGTTTATTCGGCTCTTTATATCTCTTGGATGTTAATACTTTATCATTTGCATAGTTAGCAAATATTTTCCTCCATTCCTTTGATTGCCTGTTGACTTGGTGGAGAATTTCCTTTGCAGTGTTGAAGCTTTCTAGTTTGTTAGAATCCCATTTGTTGATTTTTGCTGTGTTTTTAAAAAAATTTGTTTGAGATTCTGTTTTTATTGGAAAGGCAGATTTACAGTGAGAAGGAGAGAGAGAAATTCTTCTGTCCTCTGCTTCATTCCCCAAATGGCTGCAACAGCTGGAGCTGAGCCAATCTGAAGCCGAAAGATTTCTGATTCTTTTTCAGTTTCTTGATGTAGGCATTAATTGCTAAAACTTCCCTCCTAATGCTGCTACTGCTGTATTCCATAGGTTTTAATATACTGTGTTGTCATTTCAGCTTCTTTTTAGGAGTTTTTTGATTTACCTTTTGGTTGCTTCTGTGACTCTGTTCATTCAGGACCATGTTTTATTGTCAGACTTAGAGTTTCATTTTTTCTAAAGCTTATTTTTGTTTTAGATAATTATTTTTTAAAAAGTTGTTTAGTTTTGCAAAGAGAAAGGCCATCCATCTGCAGGATCACTCTCCAAGTGGCTGCAACAGCCAGAGCTCAGCTGATCCAAAGCCTGGAGCCAGGAGCTTCTTCCAGGTCTCCTATGTAGGTGCAGGGTCCCAAGGCTTTGGGCCGTCCTCTGCTGCTTTGCCAGACCACAAGCGGGGAGCTGGATGGGAAGTGGAGTTTCCGGGGCCTGAACTGGTGCACATGCGGGATGCAGGCTCCTGCAAAGTGAGAATTTAGTCACTAGGCTACCGTACCAGGCCCATTTTCTAGAATTTTGAAAGTTAATTTCCGGCTTCATTTCATGTAGTCAAAGAAAATACATGGTATGATTTCAGGGTTTTTTTTTTTTGCCAGAGTCCAGCTCCAGCTGAGTTCGGAACTCGCGAAGGGTGCGTGGATGAGGCGCAAAGAGGAAAGAAAGAGACGGACCACTAGGATTTTGTGATCATAATGGACCACACACAAAAGCTGTCCACTTTATTTATATAAAATCAGTCAAATTCTGGCTCAGACTTTTTACGTCATGACCAAGTGGGTGTTTCTAAGGATAATTCTGCCATTAGTTTTACCTAGAAACAATAGAAGTTCCTGCTAACATTACCTAGAATTTCCTGCTACAATTCTTATCCTACAACTCAATCTTGTACCACAAAGAAAAGGGGAGTCTAAAGAATGAGGAAAGAATGAAGGCCTAAATCTAGATCCCTTGATTAGCATAGGTTCAATGGGGACAGCCAAGACAGTAGGAATGATAAAGGGCAAGACATTGACCTCCAAGCTCAGGCTGAGCAAAAGGTTAACCTCGCAGTAGCAAATGCCAGGAT